GCGGTATGGAGCGGGCGCCCATGCACTGTCTGCCCTGCTCGCGTGCCAGCTCCTCCAGCTCCGAGTGCGACCCCTGGCACTCGTGGAGCGTTATGTGCTGCAAGTAGTGTACGCTGGACGATGAATCATAAATCGGCTCGTACTGTCGGTCCCATGAAAAGAAAATGAGCGCCAGCCAGAGACAATCCGGGCAGAAGGAGAGCGTGGCAGGGCGTTGGAGAGACAGAGATAAATAAATTTTTAATATTTCAATTTGGTTATGCCGAGGCGAAGAAGAAGAAAAAAAAGTACAACGGAACAGTAGAGAAAAGAAAATGGATACCGAATGCAGCAGACTGCACTTGGCCTCAATTATGAATTGTATATAAGTATTAACGTTTAGTCATGGCCACGGGCCACGGGTCTTACCCGAATGAGATGATGCTTGCGATTGATATCCTCCAGCTTGAACATTTTGCACCAAAAGAGCGGCGTATCGCCGGCGGGCAGCTCCACGTCCTCATTACGCAGCTCCAGCACACGGACGCGCTCGTCGTGCGGCGATGGCAGCTGCAGCTGGGCGCGCTGCATCAGCACCATGGGCCGATAGGGACGAAAGGCTCGCTCCGGATCGGGCAGGGTGCCAGGGCGCACTGAGCCGTGCGGTGGATCCTGTGCGTGATACATGTAGAGCAAGCGCATCGTGTCGTTCTGGAAAAAACATAACAGAAAAGAAAAATATAGTCAAGGATAATGGAGAGTTGAAAAATGTGTAAAAAATTAGTGGCCAGCCGAAGGGAGAGAGAGAGAGAGAGAGAGAGAGACAGACTGTGTGTGTGTGCACAAAATGGCGTTATAATAGCAGCCCGTGCAACAGCGGCCAACAAACCCATCAGCCAGCCGACAGCCATCAGGCATCCGCTTGCAGGCGGACAACAACAGCGGCAATAATGTCCTTGCTGACGTGTACACGGATGGACTGTCTGGAGCTGCAGCTGCAGTGGGAGCTGGGCGCCATGTGAGGGAAAATTAAGTAAAAGTAAAAAAAGGTGCGCACGAGTTGAGCAGTGGAAGGAAACGGAAGTCGCCTTGCGGCCATTGCCAGCTGGGCAGCAGGTGTTGTTTGGTCAGCTGCAGTTCGCTCTGCTCAACTTCGAGTGCTGCRTGTAAGGACTTCGTGTTGTATCGTCTGGTGGCGCAAGACAGACCACTGGAGCGACGCGCCGTGGCGCCCTGCCTTAATTAATGGATGTCAGCCAGTACAAGTTTTAAACTCTTTGATAAGGTCTAAGTGCTCCCAACACAGATCACACATGCTCAAGCCACTTTGAATGCATGTTGTACACAAATAGTGTGCTTTATATAGGAAAGAAAGAGAAACAAGTAAGAAAGCTCTAGTCAAGACTGCTTGACTACGAGATTCCCTGCACCCTTCGAGGAAATATTTCAATAATGCTTCGCTTCTTTTCTGCTCATACAAAAATCTAAATTTTATAAAATACACAAGAATCTAGATTTAAAATTCGAAGACTCTAGTTCTAAAGATGCAAGAGATATAAGTTTATAACTATTTTTTGATATGGGTTGTAATCGATAACCGAAAACGGAGTAGTTATCGATTTTTGGATGTAAATTTGATGTGCGCATGGTATATACGGACCTACCAAAACAAATTTCAAGTCTCTAACTCTTATATTTTCTGAGATCGATGCGTTCATACTTATGGGAGGACGGGCTAAATCGACTTAGCTGATCGCCGCCTTTGTCAAGAATATAAACACTTTATGAGGCCCGCCACGCCTGCTTTTGCCTGTTACATACATTTCAACGAAACAATTTTACCCTGATTTAAAATTTTTGAAAACTCTTTTGCTTTCATCAATCTATGTATTCGGCCAATTCAGAACTTTATGAGCCAAAGGCAACTGCAATCCTTTGCCAGATTTCTAAATCATTTCTAATATTCATCTGCTCCAATTTCATTTGATACGAGCTCACATACATATGCAGTTTGCATTCCGAGCAGAGCTCGAACTAAATGAGTAAAAATTCACTTAGGTTAATTGCTTGACCTCTGCGATTACAGCGTTGCCAAACTTCACAAGGAAATCGCCTCAATTCTCAATTCAGCTCGCTGCAGACTGTACTTAAGCATTCACCAAAATTGTGCAGTTGGAATCTCTTGTAATTTCTCATTCATTTCACCCACACACAAACACGCACACACTCACACATGCAGGACAACGAACATCCTTACATCTTGGCTTCAGTTTACACGTCTGGTGTCGGACTCAGATATATAACTAAATACATATGTATATCACGACTTCGTTATTTTCTACTATGTTTTCTTGCCATTTCTTTTGTGCTCTGTGTGTACGCGTGTGTGTTTTTTTTTTTTTTTATATTCATTTATTGACAAAAATTATACAAATTGCAAGTTGCGTGGTGGCTAGGATAGCGCGCGGTGCTTGCGGGACGGCCGTAAAGCATTGCTTCGCAAGCACTATGCGCTACCTTAGCCTGGGACAGCTCGTCTTCTCGATCGCTCGACTCTGCGGAGCTCCATCATCACCGTGGCCGCGAAGGTGCTTGTTAGTTCCCAAGCTTCCTCCGATTCCAGCATGGCGTTGACTAAGTTGTCCGCTCTGATGGAGCGGCCCACTGCCTCTTCCAGACGACGCCTCTCCTCCAGGAACCGTCCACATTCGAAAAGAATGTGGTTGGCGTCTTCCACATGCCCTCGCTCGCACCAGGGGCACTCGTCAGATTCCTCGTGGCCAAAGCGCTTCAAATAGCTCCGAAAGCATCCATGACCCGAGAGGATCTGCGTAAGGTAGAANCTACGATGGACCACGATGACATCGACCGCACTCCGTGAAAACGCAACTCGAACTCTCTCTGTACGCGTGTGTGTGTGTGTGTGTGTGTGCATGTATATTTCATTTGCCACGTAGTTTTAATTGGTAAACCCAAATTAAAGCTTTCATTAAAGAATCACAACACGACGGACGTCGCGTCGGGCCAAAATGTGCCCGTGAGCGGGAAATATACCTCATTGCTGCCCTCCCCTGGTACTCCGCCGCGCTCTCCTCTGGCCCAACGACTGTTTGTACTTGACTCGTGTGCCTCGGGGGCTTTTGGAAGCCAACAGTCAGCTGTCATTGTGTGCATGTCATGTGCACGTGTATGTACATACATACATGCACATATACATATATATACATGTGTATATCTGAAGCGACGGAACAACAACAATAACAATAACAACAACACATGTAGCAAACATGGCAGGCACCACAGTGACCGTGAGACAGCAGCAGAGAGAGCAGGGAGAGAGCGAGTGAAGAGTGTTGGAAATTGTTAAAAAAAAAAAAAAAAAAAGAAAAGAGAGAAGAAAATCTGCAACCCGGTCAGGGCATCCATTTGAATTCATTGTGGCAAAGTGCCCATTGTAGCTGTTAAGTGGAACTGTAGAGCACCATGTTCGACAATTGACGGCCAGGGCAGCCAGGGCCATGCCCAGGACAGCGACAACAACAACAACAACAGCATTAGCATCAGCAGCAACGGCAACAACAACAACAACAACAACAATAGTGACAACGACGACGAGTCCTTGTCTTCTTGTTCATTTTGCCAGCAACGAGGAGACAATACTTTAATTAACAATTCCCTTACCGCTCGACATTCGCCCAGCCCCTGTAACCATATCGCCCACGCCTTATTCATAGCAAGTCTGCAAAAAACCTGTACAAATGACTCGGTTGCCCGCTGTCCTGGCAAACACTGCGGGCGTCTGTGGCAAACGCGCTAACCGGCCGGCAATCGCTGCCCAGCTGCCCAGCTACCCAGTTGCCCAGCAACAACAACAACAACAACAACAACAACTACAATAGGAAAACGAGCGGACAGTTTTAAAACATTTGCCGTGCGACAGGCGCAGCACAAAAGTCATTAACGTGGCCTGGACGCCGCTGGACATGGCCCAGTTGTAAAAACATGACCACTGTGAAAAAACTCAACAGTCGTTCCGAAACAAAAAAGGCTGAAGAAGCGAAAATGCCAGCTTAAGCTCGACTTTAAAATGCCCTTCACAGCGGCTGAGCGACTCAGGAAAATGCTAAGCAGCAATGGAATGCAGGTGAAAAACTGACTGAACTGACTGAAGTGGTAAGTAACAGTACTACGAAGCTTGAATATATATTTTATGATGCGATTTCCTTTCAAGCAGTTATTCTATATAATTCTGCAAAATATTCCATAGAGTTAAGAATATATTGCAGAATTACATATATATTTGGCATATCCCTAATCGAATTATTAAATTGCCAATTACAAACCTTTCATTTCTGCATTTTAATGAACGATTAAGGTAGTAGCTCATTACTATAACAAGAAACTGTCGCCCGAGTCCTTAGATGTGAGTTTCATAAATAACGCATAATTAAGTACACAAGTTCATAAAATAGCCAAAGGCTTTCTTTTTGGGCTATCTAAGGGTATCAGCACGTAGAAACAAAGTGTGAAAAGGCCTGAGACGAACTATGCACACGCACGTGCAGCGCCGACAGCAACAGCAACAGCAACAGCAGCAACAACAACAACAGCAACGGCAAATGTGAGCCGACAACTAAAATGAAATGAAAAGCTTCAGCAAGGATTACAGCCAAAAATTAATGAAAGCAAACTGGCTCCAGTCATTTGGCCTGTGGTCAACGYTTGGCCAGCACTTAATTGCCAAAGACTGTGAGCGAAGGACCTGCACAGCCAGACGAGATGTATGTGTGTGTGTGTGAGTGAGTGTGTGTGCAGCTCAGTACAACAGCAGGACTACAGGTGAGCCACACTTTGCTGACTTTTGGGCTAATTGTAAAATGCGCCAGTACAAGCACTCATTAGAGCCGTGGTTACGGCCTGAAAAACTTTCGAGAATAGCTGCTAAACGCTTGCCTGAACCCAAATTGAGGTGTCGATCTCAGCGCTCTCAGCACTTCGAAATTCGTTTCACTTGTTCGTTTTGGAGCTCGTTTTGGAGCATTCCCTTTGCTGTCAACCGGAACAATAGTTCTCACTGCTACAGACTCGATATTAAATAGGAATATGCAGGCTCATCGTCGCGCGGCGGCTATTCCGCTCCTATCGGGTGCTGCGAACTACAAAGAGTGGAGCCAAAAGGTGGAGCTGCAGATGCGTATTCAAAAGATATGGCCAGCAGTGATCGGACCACCAGTGCCCATTGAGCACGAACGTGTCGAGACGGAGACGAGGCCAGATCTGGGGCTGCAGGACTACACATATGTTGCTTCGCGCAAACACATTTACATTCAGTCTTCCGAATTGGTGGTAAGATCAGATCGCAGATTGCAGCCTAACTATTGGAATAATCGATTTATTTGCAACAGACTCGCAGGGCGAAGTTGTTTTTGTTTAGACTCTTAGACCCCAAGATTGTTACAGGCGACTTCATCGACATGAGCGTACCCTGTCTTTGGCGCGCATTGAAGCGTCGTTATGGCCACGTAAAGAGTAGTCCCAAGCGCAAGTTGCGTGCAGTGGAAATGCAAGAGGTGTGCAAGAAGCCGATAATGGGACATCGTGGCGGTGCTTAAGGGTTAACAAACAGCATTTCTGGCGGTAATTTGTTTTGTATTTTTGGTTAGTGTTGTGTTAAATTTGTTGTTCGTTCTTGGCCGTAGGCCAAAAAAAAAAAACTAAAAAGCTTGTCCGTTTTATTATTGAATCTCGATCAGCACTGACAATATGTGAGAGTGAGTCAGCCTATTAACAGTATAAGAGTTGAGCACAAATTGCAGAATCTAGCATAGTGCACTGTTAAAAGACTGACTCACTCAATCGTGTATACGCACAAAGTATGTGCGAGTGAGATGAACAGCTCTCGCATTTGTTAAGCTGTGCTAATTATAAGAGTAAGCGAGAGCAATAACTGAAGCATAAGAGGGCAAATTCACACTGCGAATATAAGTACATATTTATATTACTCATTTGTGTCAATATTAAGTCGTTTATTGCTATATTAAAAATTTGATTTCAGTTCCATAAATATTTATTAATTATCATTGGTTTATCTTTAATTATCTGCCATTCCAAAAATACACAATTCATATATGTTACTTATATATATGTATACAAGCTACGCTAGTTTTTAATGTATGAGTGAAATGCAAATGTTTTATTGTAGCATGTGTGTGAGCGTGTGAGATAAACAGTCACTTTGCAGAAATTAATGTAAAAGTCGCAAGTCCACAAAACGATGAACTAAAMATGCAATTTAGACTACTTGAAATGAAAGCTGAAAGATTTTATCATGCTAAGGAGCACATCTATTAAATTACTTGGAATTTTATTTATATATGCATAAGCTACGCTAGTTTTTAATGTATGAGTGAAATGCAAATGTTTTATTGTAGCATGTGTGTGAGCGTGTGAGATAAACAGTCACTGCAGAAATTAATGTAAAAGTCGCAAGTCCACAAAACGATGATTTAAAAATGCAATTTAGACTACTTGAAATGAAAGCTGAAAGATTTTATCATGCTAAGGAGCACATCTATTAAATTACTTGGTATTTTATTTATTTTCTTTTGTATGTGCTGACGTAAATTATTTTGTTTAACTTGTCCAAATATCCAACACTCATTCCGACACACACACACAAGCACGCACTCACACACGCACACCTTAAAGTTTACAGCCCATTACAATTGTGTTGCTATTGCTATATTGCTGTTGTTGCTGTTGGCATTGCATTGTTATTCCTCGTGTTGCTGYTCTCTTTGGCTCCAGTTAAGTTGAGTTCAGTCGAGTTTCTGTTGTGCTTTGTTTTGCTTTGTTTTGTTGCCACTTGCGTTTTGCCATCTCAACGCGTTTTAATAATGGTCCAATTGTCCCAGAAGCGCAAACGAAACGCAACGTACGCCAAGTTGCCGCTGCTAATGGCTAATGGTCAAGTGGTCAAGTTGAACCATGTCCTTGTCGTGGTCCAGGTCCAGGTCCTGCTCCTGGCCCAGCCCCGCTTTGCTCAACTGCCACTGCCACGACCACTGGCTGGGGCCACAAAACTTGCTCTTTGCCAAGCTTGTTTAATGTGCACGTAATTGAAATGCATTTACAATTGAATTATAAATAGAACAAAATACACATACACACACACATGCAGATACCTACACATGTACGTAAATTCACACTTCTGCTGCTGGTAGTCCCTATATAACTCTACCCGCTGCCTCCGCAGCTACTCGAACAATAAAAGCAACGAGTCGCTTTGTTAAAGTTTCAGCAGCAGCAACAGCAACAGCAGCAGCAGCAGCAGCAGCTGAGCTTGCAACTTGCAACTGGCAACTGGAATCAAATCAACCGTTCCCCAGAAGCATTTCAAGAGTTGTCTTTGTCTGTGTGCACCTGGTTGCCATGGTCACGTCGAGCACTTTAGTGCTAGCATGTGTGCGTGTGTGTGTGTGAGTGTGTTTGCCTGTGCTCTTATTCCTCTGTGAGCCATTGGCAATTCAATCATCAATGGGTTTTTCGTGCGCTGCTTCTGATTCTGCTGCTGCTGCTGCTGCTAACGTCTGTGGCCTGCAACTTTCTGACAGCTGATTTCAATAACTAATATGCAAAGTGGCAGATTGACAATACTACGCCCAGTTGGCCTAAACAGCCTGCACCACCCCACCCCACCGCCCACTGTGCACAGCCAGCAGCCCAATACCTGCGTTCGGTTTTTGTTGTGTTCTAATTGCCGTGTCAGTTGCTCTGATTGTGGCAGTCAGCAGCAAGACTTGTTGTTAAGCTTTTCATATGCAACCGACAGTCACACACGTACGCCTCTGTGTGTGTATGTGTCAAAAATCTCGGACTAATCGTTTGGCTTGTGCTCTAGTTCCCCCTTTAGCTATTATTCTAATGTGGGCTTCTAAGTGGCTTAACGATTTTTGTTGCGTTCATTTGAGTCGCTTTAATTAATGCTCTATGTGTGTGTATGTGTGTGTATGTGTGTGTGTGTGCGTGCGTGCATATGTGTGGGTGAGAGTGCTGAATGCTCTTGTCTGAATCGACATTAATTGAAATTATTTATGGCAAGTGTTGCAGCTTTTGTTATTGCTTTTTGGACTTGCATTTAAATGCACAATCTAATTAATTGTTTGCCCCATTATGCCAGGCTATTGTTGTAGCAAATGCTGGATTTTATGCTTAATTAGAAGAGTTACGCAAGCTGTCGGGTTAAGCTTATTAAATCAAATATCGGACACCATTCAACAATTTTCTCTAAACAATTGTCCAGAGTTTGTTTTAGTAACAACATTAATTGCGAATCAATTAAGAGCTTTCGAGTGTGTGGAGCCTCGGCTTCATAGGTTTTACTTTTGATATAGGAGGGGACGCCATTACTTTGATGTTTAAGTGCCCGAAAAAGTATGCAATAGAATTTGTATTGCAAGCTGCATGAAAGACCATTCATTGCCCAGAGACGGGGGTAGACAGAAACACTCACATGGCCATTAACCCGGCCATTGCAGTTGGATTTAAGCGTTATTCTCCACTCCCTGCTCACCACATGCCACTTGCAACTTGCCACTTGCCACTTGCCGCCTGCCGCTGCGAGTGCCAGCCAAACAAAAATGCGCATAATTCCCGCTAAAAGTTTGAACTCCCGGACACACTGTGCTGTGTTAGTCTACAGGTCTACAGGCCGGGCTCTAAACGCTGCGTAGCCAGCCATTGCCATGGCCATTACCACCCTGCTCGTTCTCTAGCTGTAGCTCCAGCTCCTGCCCATTCTCGTTCCCGTTCTCGTTCTCGTTCTCGTCAGCGTATATTTGTCAAGCAAATGGAATAACCGTTGCAATTGCAACAACGTCAAAGCCAAACAAAAATGTTATTTGCCGCTTTGCCCAAAAATCAAGTACACAGCCAAACAAACCAGCTGCCCAGCAACAGCCTAACAGCCAAACAGCCAAAATCCTGCGCCTGAAGTTGGGCTGGCGCAGCCGAGAGCCGGAGTCCGGACCCAAAAGTGGTGGTCGCTGTTGGGTACCGGGACTCTTGCTCTGATGTCCATCATGGTATTGTGAGAGCGTTTGTGTGTGTGTGCGCCTGTGGGTCTGGCAACGGCTCGCATAGTCGCTTTATTAAAGCTAAAACCTGCATTGTCCCATTTTACACATGAGTTGTGAGTTGCAAGTTGCGAGCAGCCTCCACTTGTATAAACTGCCAGAGATTCACATGAGCTCCACGGTAACTGGCAATCGAAATGGTCAGAGCTTATAATGCTCTATGCGAGAGCTGGTTAATATGAATTTCAATGCAACTATGAAGTGGGACGCTAGTGAGACATTTGATGGAGTCGAGGGGCGATAAGGGAGCTTATTAAATGTGTTTAATAATTAATAAAGTGAATTATTAACATTCGAGTTCCCTGTTAACTACTTAAGTGAAAGTAATTAAATTTAATTTCATTAATTAATTAAATGTCCTTAAGTCTTTAATATTTAATACAGAATATGATTTAGTATTCGAATTTCCTGTTAAATATTTAGTTTCAATAATTA